TCCTGCTGTTTATTAACATAACATTTCAGTACTGTATGCTTAGAAACACTTGAAATGCTGCCTTGCAACTCTCTCTACTTTTTTTTTTAACCTGGCTCATGCAAATATATCCACCTATGCTTAACTTAATGTTTTCATTCACGTGAATGATACAAATTAGTAACGAATCTACGTTAAATGTGTGCATAAGTGCCTGTAGACTTGGGACTTTACCTGTTAAACTGGTTTCTTCTGCATGGTAGCTTAGACCTGGTCTAAACTGGAAAGATTTTATACTTAAAATTAATACAAGCCAAAACTATATCCTCAAATTCTTTGCTTGTGTTATCAAACTACAATTTATATGCCTTGAAGTGACATAACTCTGTTTCAGAATAAGCCACACCTCTAGAAGACTGGTGTGAACAGATGCCACTATCAGGTTCATAATGCTGCTTTAGTAGCTTTTCCACATACACATTGCTTTAGTATCCTCCAGACCTTCCTCCTGTTTAGATGTTGGGATATATCAATAGCATCTGTTTGCTGGAGATCCCGGGTTTGTAAAATTAGACTTCTAAAACTGACCACAGGCTCCATCCACTATATTTCCAACAAAATTTCTGGACCCTCTCTCTGTGAACAGAGAAGTGATCATATTTAGATTGCGTTCCCAGTAGCTAAGAGATCACTGACACCAGCCAGCGCTGTGTAGTTGAGCAAATCTCTGGGAAAGAGGACCTCAAGGATGTGTATCAAAGTCAAGAAACCTGATGCAGATTTAAGAACACCAGATACAAAAGGCTTCAGAAAAACATTCCTGGGACATGTGTGCTGTGTGGAGATGAACTGAATTTGGCAGAGAGGCTCTCTTGGAATAGTGAGCATTGTGCCCAAGCTAAAGCAGAAACCCAGCTGGAAGCTACGCAGGCGTCTATGGACTCTGAACTAGAAGAAAAAGTCTCTGGACAGATGAGACTATTTTATGACAGATCAAATACGACACCTCCCAGGAAAACAGTTTGACAGTCTTGCAGAGGAGACCTCATTTGGTAAGTACAGAGAGAGATACTGTTCTTATTTGTACTATTTTGTGCAGTTTCAAGTGAATTTGGAAGTGCCTCTTCCAGGTAGTGGATGTTGCCTTTGTATCCCATGGGTGTTAGTACAGTGGGTTGTGGAGGAGACCGCTGCTGTGGTTCTCTGAGCTAAGCAGGCTCTGCCTTTCTCATGGTACAGCTGAAATTATAACCAGGCCAGAACTATTAATTTGTGAATAAGCTTCGTCATACCAACTGTATTAAATACCTGCAGATGCCAAAGGCACTGTATAGCCCCAATCCTAATACTGGTATATGCTGAATTTTCCTACTTTTTAATTGCCTCTGCCTCACGTTCATACTTTCTTACCTGTCTACGTGGGTACAACAGGATGGATTATCTTCATTGACACATGCACTACTTCAGGCAGTCTTAGTTTTGTGAAGTAAAAACTGAAAGGAAAAACTGAGACCAAAGGTGGTTAATGCCTTAAGGTTTTTAACTTCACATATATAAAAATGTTAACATTTAAATATACTTGCCAGTTGAGGTTAAGAAGCTATTCTTAAGTGTGTTGCATCTGTAAATGTTTGTGGTTGCAGGAGCTGGAAAAGATTTCTAGCTTTCTGCTTTTTGCTTTTATGCTTTGCTCTACAATTAATTGTTAAAAAAAAGGCATACATTATGCCTTCAAAATTCTGTTTATTTTGAAAGTGATTTATGAGTATCAGCTGGTGTTTGTAAGTAGTATGCACGTTACAAATTCATGCAATTTTCCCCAAGCGTCTGTGTTTGTAGTATTTCCTTTCCAGAAGCAGCTCAGATGGTGGTGTATGAACATATAGCACTGTCCATACCTTCCTTCAGTTATTTTTTTGCCTTTCTTTAACAATACTTCTCTGCTTTTTGAAGGTATAGTTGTGGAAATACTTATTTATCTGAATTTTTTCCAAAGTAAAAAAAAAAATGCTGGTATTTTCTGTAAAAACATACACTTGCCCACAGTTTTGTTCAGCGGTGCTGCTACAATACGGGACAACAATTCAAATGGAATTTTAAATAAGTCTGACATTTGAGGTTATCTTGTCTGAGCAGGGAGTAGGGGATAGAAATTTGAGAGTTGGGCAGTGGGTTTGAAAATATGAGGAACTAGCACTTTATGAATACTTGCTAGTTCAATAACTGTTGCTTTGATTTCTCTGTTCTCCTAGCATCTTGCATGGCACAGCCCACAGAGGAAGGGATGTTACTGATCGTTTGGTAAACCTGAGGAAAGAGAAGGCAAACATCCTTCTTCAGCCTTAGCCTTGTGAAGGGATTCCAGCAGCAGGCAAAGTGCCCAAAGAAAGGAAGTGTTTGTGTTGCAAGACAAGCTCAAGAGCAAAGGCCTGAGTGACGTGCTGAGAAATTGTCATGGGATCAAGTGGAGAAGGTGGAAGGAGAAAGGGAAATAAAGACCACTGGACGTGATGCTAAAGCTGCTAAATGTGCTGGACAACTTTGTTTCACTTTGCTCATGTGTAACATCCTAAAGCAATCCAGTCCCGTAGCCTTTCATTCTTCCAACTCTAGGCCATCGGCAGTCCCTCCAGAAGTCCCACCCCAAGATAAGGGACCACATACGGTCCCGCTTGCATGTTCTCAGCTCCTTATAAAGATGTGTCCAGTCTCCATGTTAGGTCTTTTGTCCCATTTTAGTTCTTTCAGTTTGCACTATCCTGTTGTGCCAAAGCAGTCATTTTAGTTATAATCTGCACTTAACTGGAAAGAATTACTGAAAGTGTAGGTCTCCCTAATAACAGCCATTTGTAATAAAGTTGAAGTACGCAAACTGTTTATAATACATTGTATTCATTTCATTCATTGCACTATCACAAAATTTCCTCCATATCCTTTGCTTGTAAAATACGAGCACAGAATTTCAGTGAGCACGGTTCCCTGAATCTTACAGATATATGAAAAAGAGAAGAGATTAGCTGTTCGAAATATTCCCAAGTTGTCTTTTTCAACTTCCATCTATTCTCTCAGATGTTATGATGGTGGGCAAAACTCAGCAGCCTCATGAGACAGATATTACGGCAGGGTAAGTAACCTGTGAGGTGGGTGATAAGGGGATGCACGGTCAGACTTTGCACAGAGACAGGTTGGACTAGATAGAAACTGAAAGCGTCTGCTTTGCTTGAGGCAGAACACAGGTAGTAAGCAGGTTGGCAGCATCTTGCCTCTTTGAAAAAACAACATTTCCCAACTTGCTTAATCTTCTAAATTTGAGGAAGAAAGGGGGACTGTCTGGTGCACCGTTCTTGGAAGCTTGCCAGTCGCTGTCTTCGAGCAGGCTCCAGCCTGTGATTAAACACCTCTGCTTTCCTTCCTGTCTTCCAAATGTTCACTGATCATTCTGCCTCAGCTGAAGATTTTGAAATGTCTAGAAAAGCTGCTGAAAAGCCAGGGAAACAAAGACACAGTCTTACAATATTGTATTTAGTACTACACTACCATTTAAATCCCCATGTGTTTAACTGAGCAAAAGCTTTGTGTTTTATTGCATAAAACAGTGATGAACTTCTTCCCTAAAAAATTCTGGCAGCAGACCTTTTGCAGACCACTCCACGTTCATGTCAGCAAACTTCTTGCAATATCTGATTTGATGTGGATGCTTGCTGAGCAGAAAAGTCTTAGTATCAGAGTCTTTAGAATTATCATCTTTAGTTTGTACAACAGGTTGGGGAAACCTCCTGCTCCCCAAAACTTTATTTGCAAAGACATGCTAGTGAGCTGAGACCTGGTTTGGAGAACTAACAACAGCTGTGTGGGTTCTCTTGATAGCCCCTGGTATATGAAGCTATCAGAAATTTTAGGAAGACATTGTTAAGTTTTGATCTGGGCCCAAAGGCCAGTATAAATGCACACCATTGGGAAAAGCCTGACAGTTGTTTTTTAAATACAAGCCAACATGGGTGAAAACAAATTATCATGGTATAGAAAAGTGCACTAATCGGTATGAAGTTAGGAATGTTACAGATCTGTCCCACGATGCTTTTAGACTGATCTTGAGCTTGTAGTTACAAACTTGTACTGCTTTCCTTTTCACCAACTTTGATTTGGGATTATTGACTAT